TTCCTGAAATGCTTTTTTGTGTTCATGTGCTTTGTTTAACATATTGTCTTATTAGTTCCCTGATAATCCTTTAATGCAGAACGATCATGTGGTTCTATGCAGTATTCGCAGTGGGAGTGAGTTTGCTCAGATGAATTTGTAGAATGATAACTTTATAAAAAAAAAAAAGATTACAAGCATTTTAAATTAGGCTTTGTGTTTGTCCTCTGTCTCCTCGAAGAACTTACTGATATGTAATTCTATCATAAGGTCAATTAGTATTTTGGTTTCTTGGTTAAGTTGGTCATATTAGGGTCCTAAGGGACCAAAGTTTCCTCCGTAGTGTCAGAAGGCTGTGCAGGGTCCTAGCCTCCAAACTGGAGCCTCTCATGTATTTTTGAGAACGGGAGTAGATGCTCATCTGTCAAGCTGTTTGCTTGGGACATAAAATTTCTATATACTGTAGATTTTTTTCATTATAATTTCTCTCATATGATGAGTTACATTCGGATTTATTTTGCGCGATGCTGTTATAAGGTTAGGTACATTTGCAGATGGGACTTACTTAATCTGAGAACTAACGTACTTCTCTCTTTTTCTTTTTGTGTCTAGTTTTAGCTTCTAGTACCAAACAAATATAGGTATACAGTCCCAAATAGAGATTGTTGAGGTTTTGTCATAAGTACATTGAAGGGCCTTAACTGTTACTATTGAATGGCTTTTCTGACAACATTTCATGCTTTGTTCTTTATCCTAGAATAGTTCTAAACCATGGTAATAATTTCCTCATGTAGATATAAATCTAAAATAAATAGTAAAATTAAGTGTTTCAAGGCTTGTTTGTTACAACATGTATCCTTCCAACCATGGGGAATGAGGAAATGAGGGAGAGAGAGAAAGCTAAGTCTGAATCCTATAATCCCTGTTCTGGCCAGATAGATCCAAATGAAAGCTGTTTCCATCCTGAAAAATTAATGCTCATAAAACATCTTTGGCCTGTAGAATACCACAGATTTAATTTGAGATTTCTGTGGTAGGAGGTCAAATCTAATATTTCAGGGTTTTTTTGTGTGTGGTTGTTTTTGTTGTTGTTGTTGTTGTTTTTTTAAGGGGAGAGGTTGTGATTAGAAGGCCTTGTCACCACTGATAGGACATGTGAAGGGAAAACTGATAAAGTTGTTATTAAATTGAAACATAACACCACAAGGTGTCCCTTCATGAATTGGCAAAGCCTTGGAAATTAAAGGGAGCTGACTTCCATGCCAAAATGAACACTACAGTGCTACGTGGAAAAATATTTTAATGTTTCGTTCCCATTTTTTGCTAATTTTTCTTTTCAGGAATCAAGAATCCAGTTTCAGTTGCAAATAGATTGTTGTGTGAAGGGCAGAAGGGAAAACTCTCTGCTGGCAGAATTCCACCTTGGTAATTGTTTTGTTCTGCTTGACTTTACTTTGGTCTTTCATCTCTACTGCATGCAATGTTTGAAGGTTATATCTTATTCCAGGAAGGCTGGTGCTGTTTTACATACCAGCAATAGTGTGCCTTTAAAAAGAAGTTAAGCATTGTTCTCTGATCTTGAAACGTCTTTTACACTTGATGAAGCTGTGGGCAGAAAGAAGTTTTGTAAATAGATGGCAACATCATTTTGTGATAATTTCTGACTGTGTGATTATTTCCAGTTACGTCATACTGAATTCTTATGTTTTTTACTGTAGCTTTTTGAAAAAAATCCCTAAATACATCAAGATTAAAATAAAATTCTACTGCCTTTGCCTCTGTCTACCTTTAAAAAAAGCAAGATAGTTTTTAACAAGTATATAAAAGAATCCTACTTTACCATCTGTCTTTGTGGCTTTATTTTGTAGCTGTAGCATGCAAATGTGTAGTGTTTAGTAACTTAGCCAAAATGGGACGTTATTTTAAAGATAACTTTAGTAATATTTACAACAATAATGAAAACATACACTTCTTTATTGAGATGGCTATAATACTTAGATGGAAAAGGTAACTATTAAATGCATAACAACTTTAAATATTATTGCATCATTTTGGGAAGAATCCAAGAAATGTGTCAGAATTGATTGCTCTTAAAACCATCTTATTTTCATTAGCAGCTTAAATCAACAAGCAGAGAACTTGAATGATTCGTTCATATTGACGCTATCCTCAGTTATCTTACCTGCTGCAGAAATTTGCTACCCTTTGCTAACTAATGGTATTTGCAGACGTATTAAACGAGCATTTATGTAGTTTAAAATATGTATGTTTAGGGTCACAAATTTTATTTTCCTTACTGTGTTGCTCTTATTCTATAAAATTAGCCAAATAGTCTGTACCTGGATGATATAATATTTCAGTTTAAACTGAGTAAAGCACTATTGCAGTGTTTTGTTATGCTGCAAAGGAAGTTCATAGATGAAAAAAGCCACCCTGACACCAAACCATCAAGAAGCAAATTTTGCATTTAAAACTCTTTTCTTTGATGAGGAAAAAAAAAGAATAACTGTAGTTAATGAGATAACTTTTTTTTTTTCCCCCAGAGGAGGCATTTGCTAAGGAATAGGAACTTGAGTTTCAGTTGTTGTAAGGAAGAGCGCTTGGGCACTTTAGTATGTTTGCTGTAACTTCATGATCTAGTTTATGCTGCTATTTTTTCAAAAATAACTGAATGGAAAAGAAACTGTATCTTCTTTCCCTCCGAGGACAAGACTAAATCTTTCAAACACTGTGCAAGCTCTACTTCTAAAGACTGGGGAGCTCAAACTCTCAAGGCGAGAGGTGATCTGTCTTCAGAGCCAACACATACAGTTTGTTGTGCAAATGTTGTGGACTTGAGTTACCTAATACATATTTTAATTTCCTTTTTTACATTCTGGACTTTGAACGTATATTTTACTCAGGAAAATTAGTTACCCTGTGAACAAACTGTATTAGTGGGATATTGTGGGTAGTGCTTTAGACTTGTTTTGGTAGATGCTTCTGTACACACAGGGTATCCCAAGTTCAGAATGGTGGAGCTCATGTTCATTGTAGGTGATGACTGTTGACAACTTCATGCCTTGCTTTTCTGGCAGGGTTTGGCATAACACATTCTTTTTTTGGGACTGAAATGTACTCCTGTACAAGCTGGGAGTATATGTAGTCAAATGACAAGAAAGTAACTGTATTTTGGCATTGCTACCCAGTGTCAGGATGTTAGTAACTGATTTTTATTTGTAAAGGTGTGCAAGTTTCACCCTGTTTCTCGTGGGCAAATAGTGTATTGGAGAATCTCTTCCAAATGCTGCTTAGCCTAAGAATCTGTCTTGTTAAAGAAACATAGTGGTAGAGACTGTTTCTGTAGCGTGATCTAAGCTAGCTTAATGTTTTCTGGCCAGAATATTTGGCACATGACCACACAAGAATAATTTGGAAACTATGACATTAGTAAAAGTGGCGTTACGGAGCGTTATCTTGTCTATAAAAGTGTATATGGAGACAGTTACTTTGGCCTGTTTACTCCTGTTCAGCACCTGTTTTTATAGTGACAGTTCAAGAGTGATTGAAAGTGGTAAATTTCTAATTTTCAGTAGAAGAAATTCTAATGAGTGTGAATTAACTTATTCTGAGATGGTAAGCTTATTGGGAAGGAGTGATCAAGTGTCCTAACTGATGTATCCAATTTGCTGCGAATTACTCTGTAGGGTGTGTCATTCTGAATCAATATCTTCTTGTCTTGTTTAAAACACAGAATCATGCTATCCAAATTAAAATTTAAAAAGTTTAAAGTAGAGAATCTCTGAATGCATGAGTGAATTTGTTAAAACTTCTAAGGTCCTTACATCTTTCTGTCCTGTTTTATTCAGCTGGATGTTGTCAGGATTTTCTCTGCCCATGTATGCAGGAACAGAAAATACTGAACTTGTAAATGTTACGTATTATCGTATGAGATATTCCCGTTCATTGTATAGCTTTACAAAAGAAAGCACTATTACAATTGCACAATTACGTATTGGGTGGATCTTTGGAAGTGGTCTTTGATCGCAGAGTAATGGATTAGATGTTTCGTAGCAATAAGTTTGAAGATTTTTTTTTTTTTATTTCTTATGCTGAAACCTTGACCCTCCTAAGGTAAAAAGGCTTATTTACATCTGTTTGCTACCAAGTGTAGATACATAAGAATTTCAGGATGAGAAAAATACTCCTAAATCTCTCCTTTCTTAGAACTCCTTGATACTACTCATATCTAAGTTCATGTCAGTATCCCTTTTTCAGTATTAATAGTAAACCATATGGGAAAGAATCCCTTCTTAGGGTTGTTTCCCCCTCCCCTGTGGGTATGCAGGGAACTATAATTGCTTCACGGTTTTACAGTGCTGCAGGCAGGATATGTACAGCGTGTCGCTTGTAGGGCAGTGCGTAGTCAAGAGTGTGCCTGGAGTGAAGACTTGCACCACCTTTTTTCCTCTGTTCTATATTTCTTCAGAATATTCTTCACTTCAAATTTCTTCTTTGTAACAGTGATTTCAGAGTGATTGGTGCATTTTATAATAAATGTTACAAAGTGAGTCTCTTATATTCAGGATCGCCTTGACTGTCTTTAATGAACCTGGCCTCCTTCTGCCACTTCTGCCTAGCTTGGTGTGGCCTGTCTCTCTATAGCCCATATTAAATGGTCCTGTTTGGAGCAAATAGCACCAGGATAACCATGTTCTTGGAGAAAATTGCCTAAAAAGATAATTTTTAGAGACTTTCACTTGCATTTTCCATTAATATGGTCTAGTTTGTCTGGTATTGGAAAGTGCGTCCAAGCATCAGCTCCTTGCTGGGAGGACGTTTTCATCTTCTGTGTGTTCTGAGACTGTACTCTTCGTGTGATGTATTTGGAAGAAAGATCTTTTTATCTTGTTTGTGCAGAACCAACTTTCAGAGTAGCAGAGCACAAACTCATCCTTTGTTTTTGATCGTTCCCTCCCCCCGCCCCCACTTTTGAAAACTGTGTTTTGAATTAGCCTAAGGGCTTTTGAGACTTGGTGGGGTTTTGGCCACCTTCTATAGCCCGCTGGCTTTATTCCCTGTTTTTCCTCTCCCCCAATAAATGAAGCTTGGTGGTAGCTGTTTAGAGGTAGTTTTGTTTTTGTGTCAGCTTCAAAGTATTGCCCTGCTCATTCTTGCCTGCTGCAGCTTTTCCACGTGGCTACATGGATGATTCTCTTGGCAACTAAAGCAGTTCCCACCCTCTCGCCACCCTACCGTCCATGGCCAGTACAGTTGTATGTGTGGCTGTGTGCCGAACCGGATCACAGAACGGGCCTTTTTGGAGAATGTAAAAACTGTTTAGTCTTGCTTAGATTATACTTATTTGACTACCTGCAGTACTGAGTTCATGCTGTGTGTCTTATGAGTCTTTTGCCAACTAATTCAATATCAATTTATAGGGGATACAGTATAGGTAGTACAGACAACAGAGCACTGAGATCCTGACTTTTTTTTTTCCTTGCAAACTGTTTAACTTTCCTGTGATTATGCTGTCCTTTCAAGACATCTGAACTGAAAAAATTTTTTAAAAACTGAATGATCTCTCTGATGTTGTGGGTCCTCAATTAGATGCCATCAGGAGATGTCCGCTTCAACTAATCTAACCATTCTTAGGAACCAGAACTGGAAAATACTTTATGCCTGTCTTATAGAAGGGACAGGAATCTAGGAATTAAGGATGCAAGTGTGAGCGAAGTGAAATTCACGTTACTCAAGTTTTGAGACGTTCTTGGGTGCTTTTTTTTGCACTCTTCATAAATACTAGTGACTTACTGTGTTTTTAGCTATTACAAAGGCAATTGTGAGATTGCTTGTGAAATGCAGTGTTTCTGACTGATCTATGCTATTCAAGTTATATATAAAACTGCTAATTTTTGAGGTTGATACTTTCTCCACATACCCTTCCTCTCTGTGTAGATTGTTTTATTCAACAGGAGGTTCTTATTTACTTCTGGAGAATGTGTTATTGATAGAAAACTTTTCTTTTAAAGATCAAACCCATCTTTTCTTTTGTGTTTGTTTTTAGTCAATGGAGTATACTACATAATTAGATTTGACTATGGTTTGCATTTCTCTTGTGTTAATGAAAGCGACAGGTTGTTTCTTGAGCACTAGCTTACCTAATGGGAGATGCTTGAGTTCTCCCAAAATACTCAGTAATTTATTCTACAGTATCCTGCAACATGAACAATATTTATCTGGAGCTGCAATAACAATGGTAAGAAATATGTATTTAACAATTCAAATTCTCATCTAGATCAGCTTTTGTTTTTTGGAGACTTATGTAAAGAAAGACTGGACACACCTCTTGTATTGGTTAAGTTAGAGAGAAGATAGAAAATACCACCTCAGAATACTACATGCTGAAAGCTGCAGGTGTCAGATATTGCACTGTCAAGAAAACTTCCAACAGCATTAATGCCAACAAATTTGCTATATCAATAACGTTCTCGGAAGTTGTAGTGCTGTGTGGCCCCAGGGACTTCTTTGTAGCTGAAATAATTTCTTTAGCCTCATATTTGTAATTCTGGCAATTCTGTAAAATGTTTTAAAATTTCTGTAAGTACTCAGTCTTTACTTCATGTGTCCGTTAGGCAGTTGTTTTATTCTTATTTCAAAAGGAGGATATGAAGTTAAGATTGGAAATAGCAGTATTTTACTGCGTTGCTGTTGCTGGAACTGTTGTGCAGCAGCTTTCTGAAAATGTGTGATTTCCAACTACCACATTCCCCTTTTCAGAGAATCAGATTAATTTATTTAAGGAGAAATAGTATAGATAACTGAGGCTTTTCCCCCCCCTAAAATATACATGTCTGTGTATAATATTTTGCAATCATTCTTTGTCAGGCAGCGTGTGCTGTCTTGCTACTGTAAAATGTTCAGTACTGACTAGAGAACATCTGAAATTGTTGGGGTTTTTTGCAAGTATATTAAAATTTCGGTAGACTTGAATCCTTTGCAAATGCTTGATAAAACTCCATGAGATAGACTTTTATCCTTCTAAATAAGGCTTATTTTTAGCTTGCGTTGTACTTCTCAAAGGACACTTTGATATCCCTGTGGCATTGGCTGACTTTACTGGAAATACCATTCTCACCTCATTCATCCCATGTTGTTGGTCTTCAGGATCTTACGAAGTTGTTACAGAGAGCAAGACTCTATATGGCTCCGTCCTGTTTGAGCTGCAATTAAAAGCTGGTGCTATTTGGTAATTAATTTGAGATTTAATAGCACATGTTTTTGTCCAATACTGAACTTAATGTCAGAGCTGCATAGTCTTTTAATGAAACTACGTAAGGTTGCCAAATGTAATGATAGCTGACATTTCTGTGAAATGTAGACAGCTAACAATTTTAAAATGACCAAACCAAATAGAAAAAAATAATTGCAAGAAAAGGGGGATTTGTTATATGGTTTTGTTTAAACTCCCTCTTCTGTGTCTCCTAGCTTTTTAGTTGGTGAAGGAGCTTACAGATGGGCAGTTGATCACGGGATACCAGCATGTCCTCCAGGTATCATGGCTACAAGTGAGTAAACTGGTGGTATCAGTAGGAAGAACAGGACAGAGTAATTTTAAATGGTTCCTCATATTTTGAGGTGTACATCACTTCACTGTTCTTAACATTCAACTAGCTTATGGTATTATGGTCTATAAGAATGGTTTAAGTTTATTAATTTTCTATTAAGTATCTAAATAGAAAAAAAATATAAACTATTACTTCAGCTGCATTTTAGCAACATCTAATTCAAGTGAATTTGTGATTCTAGGATTAAATCCAATGAAGGACTTCTCTTTCTGAAACATAGGCTCTTTAACATCTCAGTCCTGCAAGTCTCCAGTTGTGATCCATCTTGGATCCTAAAAGCACCAACTAGCCGTGTATCTAAATTCAGCAGGTGCCAGTTTGACTGTCAGATTCTGTAGTTACATGCATCCCTGAGTCTTTGTCCAGAACTGCTCTGGTCTAAACAGACCATCAGATTCATTTGCCTACTTTTTTAACCTACGTAGGCTTTGCTTCATGGAATATACTCTAATAACCCAACTCAGAAAATGGACTTAGATTATACTGTATATTAGCAGTAGTCAGGTCTCTTACAAAAACTTGTTTTCTTAAAATGAAAGAAGTGATTGTGTTATATTGATACACCATCTATAAACTAGGGTAAAAATTAGTGTGCTTACCCTTGGAAAGGAGGATATGGGTCCCCTTCCTTCTCTTCTTCAGTCCCCCGTCCCTTTTGGAAAGTGCCGTTACTACTAGTCTGTAGTTTGATATATGTGAAAGCCTGCCCTAACCTTCCTGTTGAAGTTATGCAGGAAAGAAATTAGAGATCATTACTTAAAGGAGAAGGAGAACACAGAAGATTATAGAACGTTTCTTTGTTTTACAGTAAACAGTATTACTGCATAAAATACACGAGTAGTACCTAAACCAGAGACTGAAAGCCAGGGCTCCTCTTAAGGCTTTTATTTGATCTAGTTCTAAATGTAGATAAACATCCAGAAATTGCAGTTCGAAGTTGCTAATACTTGATGCTTAATTGTAACCCCTGAAACAGTGGCACCATTTTACTTGATCATATCAATTTTCATACTCATGACACATTTCATTTGGAACAGAAAGTTTTGATTTCTAGTTCCACATGACTGAAACTTCTGCCCTATCCATCTGCTGTCCAAAACAGCATTTGCAGAACAACTTTTGGGCTCAGTTAAGCAGAACACCTTAATTTCTGTGACTCTGGAAAGAGGGGTGTTTTTGTGGTGTTGTGGGGGTTTTTTTGACTTTTTTTTTTTTTGGTGATAAAGTAGTTGCTACTTATGTGTAGGAAATACTCTAGAAGGAAAGTTTCTTGACTAATACTGTTTGCATGCACAAAAGTTTCCACTGTATCTAGTACTAGTGCGTTTCTGTTGTTAGAGATGACTAGATTGTAACATTAATTGCCAGATGATATCTTACTAGCTAAAATGTACCTTAGTCAGAGCAAATCTACTCATAATGGTTTAAAAATAAGGATGACCATTCCCAGTTTTGTTTACCTAACCCTGACTATGAATTTACGTTGAAGAAACTTCAGAAGAATAATCCCAGCTAATATATTTTCACAAACCTGCCAAAACACCAGTGATTTCTTTTTGTCTCCTCCACACATTTGGCATAGTTTTATTCAGCAAAACAATTTACATTAAAGCAATTACCAGGATTGTGAAGTTACTCCTATTGTAAAGTCGATGCAGAAGTGCCATTTGCTGTTGCAATGTCAATGAAAAAAATATTGGTATTAAAGTTGCCAATCCCCCTCTGCTTCCTACACCCCCTGCTTTCACCCAGGTTTATGCATGCTGAAACACACACCTAAATAATTATATGCTTGAGCCATTGCACAGGATGGACCTGCTCTAGGAATTAATGGATGCTGTGAAGCAGGCTGTGACTGTTAAGACTTGAGTGTAGACTTTGTGAATATTTTGCTGGAAAAATGATTTCAGATTCAGGTAATTGAAGGATATGCTGAAAAAAACAGTAGCAGAGGCTGAGATTCTATCAGATATTCTTTTTAGTATTGAGCAAATTACTTAAAAAGGAATTCTTCACAGATGCTCTCTAATTCATTGCTTGATCTTAGCATAAATGATAGTCTATGTGTGACTGGATTTACAGAAAGGAGGTATTTGACTATTACAGTCTTGTGCTTCAGTTTCATTTTCAAAAAAGATGCGATGGCAGCATGCTATTTAAGTGCCTAAAATGGATACAGAGGAAAACAGTACTAGCTTACATTAAGTCTTCATTATTAGCCATTCTGAGAGGCATCTGGGAAAAGATTGCTTGAGCAACTTAAAAGTTTTTGTTTCTCCCAAGACTTGAGTACCCTTAATTTTGCAATATAATCATTAATGGTAGCACATCTGATTATTTTTTTCTTCAAAAACACAACAGCAAGCAAGAGCAAACAAAAACCTGAAAAATCAGTTCCAGAAGATACTATGTTGATTTCCATACCAGTCTTTTGCAAATTTTGTCTTGTAACACGTAGACTTCTGATCAGTGAGTTGGAAGGTAACTGTTAACTTGCTCTGTGACTACATGAGATTGCTATAGCAATTCACTGAAAAGGAATTGGAAACTGTCTCACAGGTAACATGTAAGAAAGTAATTTTTTTTTTTCCAGTGTTACCAGGAGAGGGGAAAGTTAAACGTGCTTCATAAACAATTAAAGAGAATATTGTTTCCAAGCAACCGCAAAAGATCTCGTCTGAAGTGAGCTATTGCATGAAATAACTTAAGAAATGTCCAAAAAAGGGAGATTCTTTGATTAGGCTAGCTACAATTACTATGGTAGGGTTTGCATGGAGAATTGGGGGTAAATTAACTTGAAATTATGTGACTGTTGAATAGCTCTGTAAAGTGAGGAGCTGAAGTAATTGCCAAACATCAGGAAAATACTTTTAGTAACTTCATTACAAAAAGCCAAACCCAACCCCCCAAAACCCCCTAACCCAAATCTTAGACATGTACTCGCCATAAGTATTAGTGGGGAGAACTGGATGCTCATATTCTGGCTTCTCTGTGCTGCTCATGGAAAATATATTCTTGAAGTCACATTATTCTGTCTCCCTTTTCCCAGACCTGAGATGGCAAGAGTAGTGTTATACATGGCTGTAAGGCCACGGGGTTGCGTGGTTGGTTTTGCAGGATTGGAGCTCTCCCTCTCATCAGTTACAAAGAAAGTTGTACCATTGGCTTTGTGGTCAGCTCAATAATTCTCTCAGAACTATCAAAATATCTAAGTACCAAACTGAAACAATGTTTTAAACCATGTTATTTGTTCAACTACATCAAGGTTATGTCAAGGCTCACCTGCTTTGTCTTCAGTTTGCCAAGTGTGTGAGGAAATGGGATTTCTACTGTTGTAGAAATCTAGTTGCTTTCCAGTGTAGTGGGTGTTTTTTAAAAAAACCTGAAATGTGATCTGCCTGTATTACTTAGAGTCTGCAAGAAAGCTGAATTTAAGAATTCCTGCCCATACTAGAGCTTAATTTATGCCAGTACTGGAGCCCATACTAGCTTATGCTGGAGCTGTGTTACCCTGTGCTAGAGAGACTGCTTTTAAAGTGCAATTGAAGTGTTAAAAATGTAATTACAGTTTAGAAATGCTAATTTACTGCATCGTGCAACCTCTTATAAATACTAAAAGTATACTTTACTGTAGATGGACAACGCAGAGTTGAGGTACATCTTCAGTTGTTGATGGCTGTGCCTGCACTAATAATAACCAAACCACATCTGAATCTTTCCGTTCAGCCTACGGTAGATGCAAAGTAGTTGATTTGACAAACATAACATGCTGTAAGACAGCGTCTTATAATTGCTTACAATGTTAAGTCTTCAAGGAGAAAGAGATGGAAGGTAACTACTCATGCAGCAGACTCGTACCTCTAACTCTGATGATGTGCAAGTGACCATAAGTACTTCAGTAAGTTATATTAGATAAGTACAAAAGCAGCTGCAGTGGATCCATGCAACTTGATAACTGGAATGCAAGAGTAGCCACAAATTATGTTCAAGGAAGAATATAACAACAGAGCAAATACATACTTCCCTTTCCCTCCCCCATTTGCTATCCCAGACTCTACGTTCCTGAGTCAAAACTGGTTCTTGTATACATGGAGGTAATCAGAGGTAATCGGTGGCATTTTCTGCCATGAAATTGTTGTTTCCTCTTGAGCCCATAGTAATTTCTAGCATCTGCAAAAACCTTTACAACTATGGGTTGTGTGAAAGACTACCTCTTTTTCATTATTTTGAGACTTGCTGAATAAAATCTGATGTTTTCTTGTCAGGTTGTTACTCAGAATCCTTCCTCAGTCGAGTCCTCTTGTTATCTTGAATAACTTAGTGTCATCACTAAAATCACGTTGAACAGAGTAAGTGCTACTGTAGGTTGGTTTGGCATTCCCCTTGTAACAGGCCATAGGTTTAATTGTACCATGTTTTGCTTTTTTTAAGCAATTTTGTGTGCGCAAGGAAATTCCCTTTTATCTTATGGCTGCTTGGATTCTTTAGCGATGGAGAGCCTTTTCTAGCTAAGTGTCATGCAGATTGTCATACTTCTAGTGACACCGTATGTCTTCCTGTCTGCCAGTATTGCCTACCTAGCCTGCCTCTCCTCCAAACCCCCCAACCTCACCCCACTCCCAGTTCTCTCCTTCACTTCACTATTATTACATTAAGAAAAACATTTGACATGTTGCTGGAACTGTGCTACAAGGTTTAGTCAGTGGCTCAGAGCAGTGGCTTAGACCATGTTTTGTTCCTTTGTTTTTAGGGTGAGAATGAAAGAGATCTGGAGAGAAACTCAAGGGTTTTGGAGATTTGATTAGAAAGCTTGATTAATCTGACTACGTCACTGTTTTTAGGAAACTAAGAGGTGTATCTCAGATAGAAGATGTTTAACAGTAGAAGTTGCTATCTTTGTTCCAGAATATGCAAAGTAAATGAGCTCTCTTAAGTGCATG